TTGGCAATAGCTAGTGAGCACCCATCGTTCCAAAATTTTCCGATTTCCAAATCTGTTAGGGGCGACGAGCTAGTGAGGCCGACCAAAGTTTCACAACAACGATATTAATTCTTTAATAATATATTTAAAGAATGCCAATAACACAGCGCACGAATGAAGAAAAATTAGGTTTTGTATGCTCGAAGATTATGCTATGCTTTCCACAAATGACAGAATGAGACATTTCGATTTTGGGATAAGTTTTGTGTATTTAGGAAAAATTGAATGCGGGCATGTAATTTTAAAGCATTTGTTATTACCACATTACTAAATACGTGTACTGAATTGTAAAAAAGAATTGGGAAAGGAATAAGCGCATGTTCTTGATTTCAATATATTATGATGATGTTACTTTATACTTGGAAACGAAATCCTAAGCTACCCAACATAGACACACATTAACAATTGTAGCCTTTCTCTTTTGTGCAGCTAACTCCAGTAATGCAAGTAATAACACTGCTCCTGGAATATAAAGGTTGGATGAAATTTGAATAGGCACTCAAGTCTGTGCCGAAACATGAAGACAGAACTACCCATCAAGTGCATTAAATGATATTGCACGCACGCAGTAAACAGACTTCCAACTTGTCGCTCCTGCAAAAAACCATGAACAAGACTGCAATTTCCCTATTACTATTTTCTTACACTCCAGTTTGGGAAGATCGACATGCTAACGCATACACAGAATATCGTTCTATTGTGGGTACAATGGGACTTTCCAAAAATCTGAGAACTCTTACACTATGTTCAGGAATGCTTGGAACTTTTCTTGAAAACTTAGATGCTCCTTAAAATGATAACCATTGGTACCACCATACCCCGCAGCAACTTGGCTTCAAGAAATAATTCTTACCTCCAAAGTTATATTTAATACAAACCATATTTCACACAAATCACTGCGTTACTGTACCTCAGTGTAATTAAAACTTGCCCCCACCATCGATACACACCCCAAATCAACATAAAAATCATCAAACGACATTATGCCGGCAAACCGGTTGAAAACAAACCACCAGTAAAGAATTTAGTAATGAAAACTGCCTTCAAAAAATAAATCAAATGAATGCTCAATATCATATACGACTATATTAACACCATTTTCTTTTCCCACGCCAGTATTTCCAAGACTATTGGTTCTGAATTACTGTTGCGGTCTTTTGTTCTGTTCCGATCCTCCGTCGTGAATTGAGTTATTGTGGTTGTATCAATCTGTGTGGGTGGAATGGATGAAGTCGATGATGTGTTGAAAACATCTTCATAATCTGCAAGCGAGAATAAATCCAGAATATCACGAGACATTTTTCAAATGACCGAAATATTGGTAAAAAAATTTGGTTTATATTCAAGTCGGTAATATTAGGAAAAAGCAACATTTCTATCGTTCAGCTAACTTGCTTACAAACACGTACAACCCCTCCACAAACTATTCAATCCATAAATTTTGTAAACAATACTACTGCTGATATTCCTGTATGGAGACTGTCCCATCGCCTTCTGACCAATTGTTCAGCGATTACTATAATCAATTTTCTTGTCGTCCTTGCGTATATTGAGGAAAACTCATTGTATCCGGAAAGCCCTTTGAATTACGCAAGAAAATTTATCAATTTACCCTTAATTTAGAGCCTACCAATCAATTTATTGGATAATATTGTGCGTACTGGTATAAACAGACTCCCAACCTGTCGCTCCTGCAATAATTTATGCTATTTTTTCTAAGATACTAAGGAGTCAATAATTCAATGCTTAATATTCTTTTCTTCTTTAATCACTGTTTTAAATTTTCTTTTCTCTCTTCTGTTTATTAATGATTTCTTCCATTACATTACAGTTTATTGACTTTTTCAAAAATGCTATTATTATACTTTCCCGATTAATTAGCAAAGTCACTCATTAATTTTTCCAACAACCTATAAAATGTTCGAACGACTGCAGTCGATTATTCTCCACCCAAACACTCACCCACGTAGCCAAAGGATAGTGGACAATCTCGATTTACCTGATGGTGGCAGTAGTGGGGGGATATATCAATTTTTAGCTGCTGACGATATTGGTTTCCATTTCATTCACACATTGATATGATGATGATATAATAAATAGATCGATAAACGAATTACGCATAATATAATTCCAACATCCCATTGATACATTCATTAACTTAATATACTACCATTAACATCCGAACAAGCTTTAGATACATAACTGCTTATAATTAAACATTAAAGCGATCCAAAAACCTAAACAAAATACTACCCCCATTACAAACATTCCAACATCGAAATACGTCAACCCTAAATTCTCTAGACAATGGGATACACAAATACAGCGATGCGTACCTCAAGCATCGCTAGTTATTATAAGAAGGTGGACCTTTTATTCAACATTATAGTGCATCATGTCACACACTACTGTACCACACGAGGCAGTATTACGTATCACAATTTGTATGCTGAGACGTTATTGGCATTTACACTTGGCTACGTTCGAAAACGAAATATGCAATCGTCTGACAACACATACAGGGAGTGGTTAGTTAAGAGTATCCAAGAAGGATTTATCAAACACTATTCGGAAGATGACATCCTGGATCGTAAACTTCTTGGTCATGGTGGATATGGTGTTGTATACAAAGCCCGCATAAAGCATTCTGGAAAATTGGTCGTTACGAAAACTTTGGTTCTAACTCGAAACAAATGTGAGGATGAATTATACAAGCCGTTTGTCAAAGAGGTTGGCGCCACGTTACTATCGTCGAAATTGATCGTATAGCGTTTAAAATTGTATAAACTGATTATAGTATGATAGCTGAGAACTCATAAACAAGTGGATGATCATCCAAACGTTATTCGGTTCTTGGGAATATATCAAGGTACATCAACATCACATTTCCAGTACATAATGGTTATAACTTGTCCAACTCTATAAATTTATGACCTGAACAGATTTGTCTGGCCCCTTACCCTATCACATGGTGTTTGAATACGCAGACGGTGGAACTTTGTCTGAACACCTACAGGAAAATTTCTCCAAGCTGACATGGAAGGACAAGTATGGGCTGGCTTTGGGAATTAGTGATGGACTGTTGTATTTGCATAAACTCGAAATTGTTCATAAGGACTTGGTATGTGTTGGTATAGCGTTTTAATTAATGGGATATATAGTGACATATATAATGACATTATTATTGTACTTCAATGCTAATATTAATATTACTACTTTTTTGTTATATCTTTTGGAATTAGTCATCAATGAATATTCTCCTCCAAGAAGGCATTGCAAAAATAACAGACTTTGGATTGTCTAGTACTCTTAAACAGATGATGTCTACATCAAAACATGAAGGACATATGGCATACATTGACCCATTATGTTTTAATGATGACTCTTATAAACGTGGGAAACAATCAGACATCTTCAGTTTTGGAGTGATACTTTGGGAGATTTCAAGTGGGAAAACTCCTTGTCAAGGGATTACCACAAGTCATGGAATTTTGTTATTCAGATTTAATGGTTCTCGTGATCCTCCATTTCCTGGAACTTCTGAACAATATATTGATCTATATTCTAAATGCTGGGATGAAGACCCTAATAGAAGGCCATCAAGTGAAACAGTAAATACATTACTCAAATTGTTGATTACTCCACCATCAACTTACACATTAGATCTGAGTGAATGTCGAATTGGAAACACAGGAGCAACAGTTTTAGCAAAAACTCTAGAATCAAAATTTTCATTATCTTCTTTAAATTCAGTTTATAATGAGATTACACATATCAAAGCAAAATCTATTTTGAAAAAGGCTTTGGAATCAAATTTGCCTATAACATCTCTAAATCTATATGGAAATCAAATAGGAGATACAGGAGCAACAGCATTGGCAAATGTACTGGAATCAAATTCTTCTTTAACATCTCTAAATCTAAATTGGAATCAAATAGGAGATACAGGGGCAACAGCACTGGCAAAAGCTCTGAAATTAAATTCTTCTTTAACATCTCTAAATCTAAGTTCAAATCAAATAGGACATACAGGAGCAACAGCATTGGCAAAGACTCTGAAATTAAATTCTTCTTTAACATCTCTGGATCTTCAATATAATCAAATAGGAGATACAGTAGCAACAGCATTGGCAAAGGCTCTGGAATTAAATTCTTCTTTAACATCTCTAAATCTAAATTCGAATCAAATAGGAGATACAGGAGCAACAGCATTGGCAAAGGCTCTGGAATTAAATTCTTCTTTAACATCTCTGGATCTTCAATATAATCAAATAGGAGATGCAGGAGCAACAGCATTGGCAAAGGCTCTGGAATTAAATTCTTTTTTAACATCTCTAAATCTAAATTGTAATCAAATAGGAGATACAGGAGCAACAGCATTGGTAAAGGCTCTGGAATTAAATTCTTCTTTATATTTAACATCTCTAAATCTAAGTTTGAATCAAATAGGAGATACAGGAGCAACAGCATTGGCAAAGACTCTGGAATTAAATTCTTCTTTAACATCTCTAAATCTAAGTTCAAATCAAATAGGAGATACAGGAGCAACAGCATTGGCAAAGGCTCTGGAATTAAATTCTTCTTTAACATCTCTGGATTTTCAATATAATCAAATAGGAGTTACAGGAGCACAAGCATTGGCAAAGGCTCTGGTATTAAATTCTTCTTTAACATCTCTAAATCTAAATTGTAATCAAATAGGAGATACAGGAGCAATAACATTGGCAAAGACTCTGGAATTAAATTCTTCTTTATATTTAACATCTCTAAATCTAAGTTCGAATCAAATAGGAGATACAGGAGCAACAGCATTGGCAAAGGCTCTGGAATTAAATTCTTCTTTAGTATTGACATCTCTAAATTTAAGTTTGAATCAAATAGGAGTTACAGGAGCAACAGCATTGTCAAAGGCTCTGAAATTAAATTCTTCTTTAACATCTCTAAATCTTCAAAGTAATAAACTAGGAGTTACAGGAGCAACAGCATTGTCAAAGGCTCTGGAGCTAAATTCTTCTTTAACATCTCTGGATCTTCAACATAATAAAATAGGAGTTACAGGAGCAACAGCATTGGCAAAGGCTCTGGAATTAAATTCTTTTTTAACATCTCTGAATCTTCAACATAACAAAATAGGAGTTACAGGAGCAACAGCATTGGCAAAGGCTCTGGAATTAAATTCTTCTTTAACATCTCTAAATCTATATGGAAATCAAATAGGAGATACAGGAGCAACAGCATTGGCAAAGGCTTTGGAATTAAATTCTTCTTTAACATCTCTAAATCTATATTGGAATCAAATAGGAGATACAGGAGCAACAGCATTGGCAAAGGCTCTGGAATTAAATTCTTCTTTAACATCTCTAAATCTTCAAAATAATGAAATAGGAGATACAGGAGCAACAGCATTGGCAAAGGCTCTGGAATTAAATTCTTCTTTAACATCTCTAAATTTTCAAGGGAATAAAATAGGAGATACAAGGAGCAACAGTATTGACAGGCTCTGGAACTAAATATATTAATATGGGTCCTGCTAGAGTTAATATTAATTAATAGTTAAGTTAAATCATTTTATATTGCTTATAGTAAAAGAATTTTTGGGATGATAATGATTAATAATAAGACTTAGTTATTAGTTATTATTTATATTATAGTATTTATATAGTCCCTCTACATTTTTATACCATTAACTGTTCAATTTCTTTACATGTGAAATGTTGGTGGTGTAATGTGATTAAGGAAATTTTACTACAAGTACTAGATGTGAACAATTTTTTATTTGCTTTCACATACCATCAAAAAAGAAAGATGAGAAAATTGGTATTAGTATTGAGTGTTGTTATTTTGGATTGATGGGTATTTTTGTAAACTTTTATCTCAATATTAGTCATTTACACTTTTGAGCAATTAATAAAGTTAGGATGACTTATACTTTTGTCCAGGTAGTGTAGATACAGCCAATAAAGGTTTTCAAAAAATAGTTTTCATATATTTTACTAATTGATTGACTCATTTAATACAGTCATCCCTCGTTTATAATTCCCCCCTATTACTATTACTATTGTAACCCACCCTCAGATATATCCCAGCTTTGGGGCTGGACAAATTTCTCCTATTATATCTCAGTATAAATTTGTATCCCAATTGATATATCCTTATCTATATTAATATCCCCAAAATTCACAAAGCCCGCGATTTTCATATCCTATAGTAATAGTAATAGATAATAGAAATATATTGATCATACCTCAGTAATATCCCCTCGGTAAATTTGCCTTACTATACGCCAACCGTGTTAAGAT